ATACACGAATCTTTCCAACATATAAGTGTATGTTGTATAAGATTATGAGCACAGACCGACATGTAACATTATTATTTTCTGCCAGGCTACCTTGCGTTCAGCTATCTATGTTCATTCAGTCAAATGTTCATTCAGTCAAATTTTCCGGTCAGGTATTCAATCTGACCTTATTAGGTCAAATTGTATCAGGATTTCATTCTGAGAGTACAGAGTATTTATCTTAACGCTAGCAAGACGATGGTGGTAATGTCAATATCGGAAACGCCTTTGGTAAAAAAAAATACACAGAAAAAAAATGACAAATCGTCCATTTTTGGAGGTGTTTGCCTTCTAAGGAATTGATTTAAGGTCAAACTGAAGAAAACGGCTACGAGCCAAAAATGGACAAAAATTGGGCTGACCTAAAAAATGGATTAGCTATTTGTTTTAGAAATGGCACCCTTTCGAACATAGCCAAAGAAGAACTGAAGTAAAATTTCATAATTTTGAGTCTTTGACGACCTTTCGAATACCGCATGGCCCAGAAGTCAAGCTGGAAGGGGAGATCGAACAACACCTAATCCGGCTCTTGTTACGGCCGGGCCACCGCCCAGACGTGGAATAATGAACCATTTATTCAGGTTATTCCCTGACATTACGGTGTAGGTTGAGCTGTCCATGTATGTATATTGAGAGTCGTTACACGAAGTGCTTATGACGACATAAAATGTGACCTTTGGTGTATTTTTCACCTTCATTTCTAACATCAGAACAAAACCATCGTCATTCGCAATCACTTTCGATTCAAGCCTACGGTCCACCCTCCCAGCCAACACTCTTCTAATGCAGCTTCGTATCTGTAGCAGCATAATCCTCCGAGGGTAACCGTTTAAGCGACTGGTTGGCCTGTGACTCTCCCGCGTGCCTTGCGCCGTGGCTCTCCCGTGCCAACGGAATTGGATCAGCTGCTGCTTGCGGCGCACCATTTGGTGGTCGGCATAGCCCAATACCTCCCTCGCTTCCTCTCAGCTCATTGCCCTGAAATGGTGTGAGGTGACGACCGGCCTAGGCCAACAATGAAAATTAGGTAAACAAATAGCATTACTGCCACTGACCCCTAATTTTCGAAGTGTGTTTCGGAGAATCAAAATACTTAGGCATTCTATAGAATGCCTGGGAGCTTAAGCCAGGCATTCTATAGAATGCCTAAGCAGTCAGGGATTCTATAGAATACCTAGGGATTCTATAGAATGCCTGGTCGGTCAGGCATTCTATAGAATGCCTAGGCATTCTATAGAATGCCTGATTCCACACATTGCCTGTAATATATATATTGCAATTACAAAAGCAGTTTTTGTGAGGCCGTTGTAAGCATCATTTGGGAAAAAATGGAAAAGAAGTTTCGGTGGGATAATAATTATGCAAGGTAAAATAACTGTGATGGTGCCAGAGAGCTCGAGCCTCGATATCAGCTCCTAGCAATTACGCGTAACGATCAGCAAAAAATAAACGTAACGATATAGTAAGCAGGAGCACTACGCAGTTACCATCGTCTACCTAGTTTTTCTTCGAACTTGATGAATTATCCACGGTTGTCGGTTACAACATCCGATTACAACATTCGCAAACTGACTCCAATGATCTGAAGGACCACACAGATCCATTCAGCCGTAGATCATACGCTTCAATCAGTCTCAGAGACTAGCAAGTTCATCTACAGCTGTTGTGAAGACGAACGAAAACATGAACTGCATAAATGCCACCAAACTCAGATAGGCGGCGATTACGGACGCGTCATCATCACCTCTTCCAAGCATTACTCTCCCAGGCGCGGCATTTTCTGACCTCCACTCTACACCATCTCGCCTCGCCGCCGCTGTCGGGAGCCGCTGACCCACAGCCGGTGGCGGCGCGGCGGTGGCGGCGCGGCGGCGGCAGTGGCGGCGCACCGATCGACCGGCGCGGCGGTCGCGGCGCGCGCCATGTTGCCTCCCGATCGATGGTGGCTGGATGGCCGGCCGGAGCCGTCGGTCGGTCGGCGCCGACGCCGACACACCGATCAATGTGCAGGGAGGAAGCGATGCCGCCGCGCCGCGCCTCGCCTGGCCGCCAGTGATGGCGATGGCGATGACGGCTAGGTAGCTGATGAAGCCGTAAATAAACCTCACGCCGGCAGAGACCGGTGTCAATAGCACCGCCTCGCGACACCGCCTCGCGACAGAGGTGTTTTCAGCTATGCGAGGCAGCTGGTACGGGTCGATCTGACCGACCTGGTCGGCCATTACCGGCTCAGTCTGCCGGCTGGGCTGGTTAGAAAGGCTGCGTGGGTCGAGGTGATGGTATTACTGCAGCCCTGGCGGCGGTGACAGCGGGTGTCGATGTCGGTACCGGCGGCGGTGGACGATGGGCGCAGTGTCGACGGCCTCGACCCTGCGGTCTCGCTAATGTGATGAAGGAGAGAGGGGCGGTCAGCGGCGGCAGAGAGCGGTGCAGAGGAGAGAGGGAGGTGCGGTGGGCAGCGAGGAGAATGGCAGTGAGAGAGCGGCGCATATACGCCCGGACGTGAGTGAATGGGCCGGCGATGTGTGTGCTGAGCGATCGTAGGCACCGAGATTCATAAACAAAGGGGAAGCGCGCCCGCCATTGTTGTATTGGAGTAGTTCTCGTCCTGTCTCCCAAAGGCGAACGGAGTAACAAGGATGTCAGATGAAGGGCTGTGAATGGATGGAGATGCATCCGCCTCAAAATGAAATGCATGTGGAATGGTCGCTGACTCGTTGCGCTGGTTGTAGATAGCTGCTCGAAAACTCTGCAGACTTCAGTTCTTGGGCAAAAAAAAAGACTTATAATAACACCATCGGAATAATCTTATTTTAGAGACTTAACAAAACATGACTTAGGTTCCGTTATCAGTACCATTTCCATGAGACCATGTGCCCCCGGCCCCGCAAATATCCCTGACAAAGAGAACCATGAATCCATTACCAGAAGCCCACGTTCGTCCTCTAGACAGCTCATACCAACGGCACCTCACCCGAGTTGGAAACGCATTGTTGAAGTCGACACACTGAGTGATTTCTCACTTGACCAAGCAGCATAATCCACTACCAATCTTCCAACAATCCGACTCATCGCTTGTTCGCTCTTCTTCTCCAACTGCGAACTGACTGAAAGCGCTATTGCGCCGATCATGATACGTTATGAAACAGCGAGCGGGCACGTTCCACGAACGGACCCAGCGCCACAGCGGACGATCCGCAGCAGAGCAGTGCCGATCAATGCCGCACAAACACCGCACGTGACAAAGACTGTTGTCTCGGCGTCAACTTCCTGGAAGGGATACAGCAATACAAACAGTAGCCCGCACGCAACAGCCCCTCGTTTACGGTTACCGGGTATTGCGGAGCCCAAACGCAAACGGTTGTCGTTGGATGCTTGGTTGACTTTGTGGCCTGACGTGAAACGACGGGTGTGATACATATCGCCGCTGTTGGGTGTTACCCCAATCTATAAGCCGACCGCGTGAATATGTGGGATATCCACACTTACAAGAAACTTTCCGGTCAAACGCGGACTTCTGGTGATTATTTTAAGAGCCGTTGGCCGGTGCGTGGTCGCACGGTCGCTCGGTCGATGGTTTTGGCTATTTCTGCGGCGACTGACGGTCCGCCGCCGGAGGCAATTACCATAGTTTTACGCCACATCACGCCTGATTTATTCGAGAGCGGTCGTCGGAGCAGTGCAGTTGACTTTTCAAACGGACACGACATTTGGTTAACAAGAGTCGGATGTGACAGTTTCGGACAGGATCGTGACAGCCGTCCCGTCCCGGACGGACGGGCGGGCTGTTCCCCAGCGAACGGGACTCTTGGAAAAACGGCCCAGCAGCGGGAGCCACCGCGTCCGGACGCCCTGCCACTGCGAGCCGGGCCCAAACAGGCCGCAAATCTGGGCCCAAACAGGGCCCAGATTTGCGGCGTTAGAGCAGCACGTGCCGCCGCAATGGCGGTCTATTTCCGTCCGGTCCGGGCGCTAAGAACGGCGCTCAGCTGATAGCCGCACAGGAATAGCGCCTCATTTGAGCGGCGACTAAGTGGTGCATTAAATGAGCGCCTTCGTTCCGCTCCATGGCGCGCTCGGGTGCTGGCAGGCCGCCTCGGCGCCGTCACCGCATTGCCGAGCCATCAGATCAGCGCAACGTTTACGACAATCAGCTCCAGCACCAAGATTAAAGCATTAAATCATCGTTAGATCAAGGCACCAGCGCGGCGGCGGTCTTGGAAACTGTTACTGGGGCCAAGAGGGCAAAGACTGGAGCGCCTCTACACGAAGCTCTGGGCTGGAGCATTGATCAAGTCGGTAGCAAAGGATAATGAATGTAATATAGTGGCAGCAATGAGGCAAGTTTAGCTAGGTTCTCGCTAATTTCATGAAACGGCCAGACAGAAGGGTATCACTTTACATATATGCAACGAATAATCATACCCCTTTTGTGAAGCTTACTACGTTATGATGACTTACGCCGTATATCATGTAACATGCTGGTCTCTATTCGATCAATTCGTTTTAGAAATGCTGGTAACATGTGCGCAAGAAGACGTTACATACCGCCATGATTGCCTTAGTTTCAGAGTGATTTCAAATCTTTATATAAGCTCGCACTGCTCTGTTGTAATAACGCCATCCCCATATTCTCACACCAGATTGGATTACGTCACAGGTTAATTGCGCCATTGGTGAAATATTCCCCTAGCTAGTACCTACTACACACACATATGCTTTATATTTCGTCTCGATATGTAATTAACGCCATGTGCATGCAAACAAATAACGACATATCACAGTGGTTTCAATGAGGACTGGGTACCGTTTAGGGCTGGTGAATAAAACCGGGATAACGCTACTCGACAAACGCATTCGATAGCTGTCCGTGCCTGTCCATCTGCCTGTCTGTCTGTCTGTCTGTCTGTCTGTAGGCATATCTGCGTTTGTTCGTCTGTCAGCCACACCTCTGGACTCACCTCTCGCTCGTTGTTGGCGAACTGAATGCCGAGGTTGGGCATCGCCCGCAGGATGGCCACCAGAGACTGGATCGTGTTACTGTATACCACCGGTCGATATTGCTTAAAATCCTCCGCCGTAAAGCCGCTCTCGTGGATAATTCTGGAAACGGGGCACACCATAGATTGGTCATTAACAAATGAAGATCACTTGTTCACTTATTTTCAAAATGCAAGTATAGTATGGTATTGATTGTGTGGTCGGTGTTTCTATTAAGGCTTTTCAAGGACCTGAATGCTGACAACTTCCACCATCTTGACGAGCTTGATGATCCTCTGGACCGTCCATCATCTAATCATTAATAAGTGTTAGTTATTGAGAACAAGAAGAGAACTATGTTTTCAGCTTTCTCGTTAGGTTGCTTTCTTTTCAGCCGTCATATGTTCAGACAGCTATATCCATGCATGGTTTCCGTTGTTTTGGTTTAGGCTTGTCGGTTATGTGAAGCAATTAATCTATCTCGGAGTATTGACGGCAGCCAATGTCCAGTACCTGTGTATTACGGCACTGCCTGCCTAGCCCAGCTGCTCTCTCGACCGCATAGTGACAGTTCCCCTACCCATAGTATCAGCTACCCATCCCCCAGTGACCAGCCCGGGACACTCTGGGTCCAGCCTGAGCTGCCGTGCTACCGCTCGATAAGCCGACCATTAATATCCAGGTAGACCCAGACTAAATCCGGACCATCCCAATCAGTATCCGCAGCCCGGACTGCTCCGACCGAGAGGCGGGGTCAGTGTGGGTCAACCGACTGACCCCGGCGCTGTTTGCCACGCCCTCCGTGACCCCTGTGCCCCGCGGCGGCCAGGGCGGCGGTCGATCGCGCCCTCGTTGTGCCTGCTGATTGGTGGCTGGCCTGCTGACACTATCACCACCACCAGCCGGCCGACAGGCGAGGTCAGCCACTGTTATGCCAGTGACCGAGGCCGCGGAGGTGGCAACATTGAGGGAGGACGTTGGTAATGAGCCTCGACGCCCCGGCTGGTTAGAGTTTAGGGTATCAGCGCGGTTAGCGTTCAGAGTATCAGTATAGCGTTGGAGTTTAGCGTTGGTTTGGAGTATCAGTACAGGCGCTGTGATTTTCTGCGCCCCTCCCGAGGCAGTCTGAAGTCTCAGTATTGGTGGCTGTCGCAAAGGGACTGGGTGAACTTTGATGTTTCCGAGAGTTGAGCCACTGTTGGCAGGCCAGCAATACAGGGAGCTGCATGGCTCAAGGCGACCTTTGTTGATTGCTTTGAAGGTCGCTTACAAGGAGACGCTTTACAGATCCTCTCTGTTGAGAGAACTGTGATCATTATGCATCAATGTTTACTGTGTAGCTGATTGATATTCATCATTTTATTGTCCTTATTGAGTTACGTAGCAGTAGCATCTTCCATTATTATTAATAATTTAGTATTTTCATGTTAGCTTTTCAAAGTAAACACCCTGTTTGGGAACGAAGGCTTTGTGTACATTTCCGGACGAACTTTGCTCATTATAATAATGCAAATTGACCAATTTAGTCATTAAAAAGGGAGAAGAACTAGACGTCTTCATTATTCATAAACGTAACGAGAACATCGCAAATGATGTGCAAACTCAGCGTGTACTAATACATAAGAATCGTTAGAAATACATCCAAGGACAATCGCACAGCCTTACACGGCATTCCGGACAACTACCTTCAAGTCCGCTCATCGACTCCCTCAATATGTCCGGCCATTGTTCGCCAAGAACGCAATAGGGCCGCCGGCCGACTCCGGCGATGTCGGATAACTCGGCGGGCCATTATCGTGCCGCCAATATATATAGCCGGTCGGCTGCGGCCATCAGACGGCGCGTTTTTCTGGCGCGACGGCGGCCATTCAGACGCGTCGGTCGGGCGGAACACCACACCCGGAGCCGGGGAGATAGTCGCCGACAAAGCGGCGCTGTCACCGCCGCCATTGGTCGCCCGCCGCGGCCGGAGCCGTGCGACGCGGAGAGTCGTTACGGTGCCTGCGGAGGTAGGCTGTACCGCGGAGCACGGCTGCTCGGCGGCACAGCCTATCCGCGGTGATGCAGGCGGCGCTGGGCGAGCTGTGTGGTGGTCGAAGTTCGGACGTGTGTTCAACCGGGTTCCGAGATAAATTTTATGTTGTGGAGTGCGGAAGTGGAAAAAGGAGGCGGTCAAGGAAGATAAGATGGGAAGAAAAAAGGCAAAAAGGTGTTAAGAGTTTCATTAAATCAGAATTGCTTAAACTAAAGGGCACACTTTAATATTGAAGGATGGATGCATCACCTAGCCATTTTCCTACTTAGCTTATAAGTCGGTCCGTATTTTCCTATAAGAAGCGAATATCTATGCTTCAAATTGAGCGCAAGGGTAAAAGCAATTCGATATTGGGAATCACTTTCAAGACTGAGTGAAGACAGCAATGCTGATTTTGAACCACTAGAAAAAAAAACGTTTGACCTCATCTTTCATTAAACATTGACTGATATTGTAAAAGAAAGAAATAAGCATATAAGCACTAAGCAGGTAAATAGAAAGTAGTCGTAGCAGCACTGACCCAAGCTCAGCTACGATAAACGGTAATAAAATGCAAAATGGCGTTTTGACGATTTAAGGAAAAGGTTCGTTGATTCAGAATTCAGATACACAATTGCTGGTGCCAGCATTGTGGATGTTACAAAAATTATAGGCATAGGAAAGTACGGCATTTTATAAATTCTATCGGGTTCTAGGTAGGTAAATACGGCAATTTAAGCATAATCGTATTGCTCATATCTTTGTCAAAGATGGCGAGTAATTAGTAGTTGGTTACACATTTACACATCATGCTATTCGCACGTGATGACATAACCATAGAAATACATCAACTTCAATAAACTTAGCTCTTCTACACGATTCATATGCTACACAACTGCGCCAAAGGAGCGTTTGTTTACTTACTTCATTTGTTTTACGATTGTACTTTTCCCTGATTCTCCTGCGCCTGAAAGAAAGGAAGAGCAGAGTCAAAATCGGGTAATGCTTCATCAGTGTTTTGAGCATCAGAGTGACATTCAAACGCTTAGCTGAACCCTTAATTCACAATTAACTGAATGAAATATTCACTGACTTAACTCAAACAGATGAATCAAGAAACAACTAAATCTTGGAGAATACTAACAACCTCTAACAACATTAATGCGTGGTGAAATGGCATCGAATAAAAAAAAAACGGTCATCAATTTGGCCAGATCACACACACTATTTTTATCCGACCATAACAAAGACAAGGCACTAAGCCAACCAAACATCGTCGATACGCATTCCTAATGAGAGACCTTTCGTCGTGTAACGCCTATATACATAAAGTAATAGAACCCAAGTATCTATTGTTCGGTTGCATGCCGTTTTTCATTGCGTATGAGTTATCGAGCGAAGTACGCCGTGACACACACAGTCATTCTCACAAGTGTCCATACAAACGTAATTATATCAGTCGACTTTCACTGAAGAGACAGATTAGGCCCATTGCCAGTCACAGACAATTGCAACCGAAAACATTGGCGCGTTGTATCTCGGTTTATCGTCTGTATTCAAAACCAATTGTAAATGTGTTTTAGTGGAACAAAAAAAAAACAATAACAACATTTGGTCCCATTTCGTGTAAAAGAAACTCACAAGCTACATATCCACATTATTTTGTGGAGAAAGAAGCTTTAGCTCAGCCTCCGGCTGCGTGCCGATCTGTTCTTTAGCCCAGCGACCCACACACTGGCCGAGAGCTATTTTCAACACCAGGCGGCCTATTTCAGACCAGTTTACGGCCTGGCCGACACAAGGCGACGCTCCAGCGGCCACTCGCAAAGCTTTAGCGCGATGGAGACGTACAGGGACCCGCAGTTGCTTCTGTACACACTAGTATTTCAGCGTATTCTTTGCCTGAGACTCCGTTGGAGGCGAATTGGGAAATCATTGCGTGCTTATTAAAACCACCATCTGAAGGGCTTTAAACTGATGTGCTGCTCTTCTAATTCAGTGAACTTTTTATGGCTATATCAGCAAAACATTGTTTTCAGCGCTTTTTCCTGCCCCATTCCTTCTGAAACCTGGAACCGCTTATTCCATTTACTCCTGCCATCTGACGATGGTCGTGCTGACTACTAGTTCCGGCGCTAGTTACTGCTCCAGTTTTGCACCCGGCACAAACTCAGGCGGCACCGGGCCGTGGCTCTGAGGGTCGGACCGAGCCGACTGCCTGGGGCGCGGTTAGATCGGACGCCCTGCTGGGGAAGGGGACGGGAGTGAGGGGGAGGGGAGGAGGTGGTCACGTGGTCCGTCCAAGCTCGCAGACGACCTGCCCTGCGCCCAGCCATGTTCTGTGATCCAAAATGGCACGAGAGCTGTGGAATGCCTGGAGGAGACGCTTCGAAAGCGAACTTCAGCAGCACTAATTTACCATATTCTGTGGAGATAAATGAATATTATCTTAATGCAGAAAAATTGTATGCCCAAGCTGTATAAGCTGTATCTTTTTAAAAGTTGTAAATAGGATTATTTTTAGGGACTTATAGGTTTCGTATACACAGTGAATTGTGTTACATTAATCCGTTTCGCTGTTATGGTTACTAACTGAAGAGTTATCCCTTTTTCTCACAGGGAATGACAATACAATAACAATACGAATAAAACCAGACGTTTCGCACAAAAAAGTGCCTCCGTCAGTGGCAAGAAAAAAGTAATGAGGCATACATGTTTTCTTTCGATAAAATCGATGAAGTAGTTATCTTTATTTTTTAAGATATATTTTCAGCAGTTTTTTAAGCACATTATGGAAGCTTATAAACATTTGTGTATTTTATCGGCAACCCGGCTGTCCAGACCGAGATGGTGCCGCATTTAGTTCTCATCGATGTTAAACCATATACACTTATTTTTCTCCACTGACGAAGGCACGTTGTTGTCCGAAACGTTTGGTTTTATTCGCATTGTTTTTATATTGTCAATTTCCGTGAGAAAAACATACTCATATGGACTGGTTTCAGTTCATGTAGAAATTTTGCACCTTCATCAACACAGATAAAATGAATATTAGCCCTCACCACACATATAAGTAGAGGTAAGTAGACCACGACCCCCCACTGGCAAAGCAAAGGATTGCGACGATTCTTTGGTGCCCTGGGGTTAATCAATTTTACAACTTCCCGGAAAATCAAAAAGCCCTTATCATTTTTGCATCTTGTCTGAGAATTTTACATCCCTGAACCAAATTATCACCTGTGATTATTTTTCTCAAGATCATGTCAGGCCAGAATAGCAATTGAAAGTCAGCGCACATCTTCTGTGTGTGTTTCCATAGTCGTTACGTGATTAGCAACGTGATAACATGTGAAATATACTAGCTAATATTTGTCTTATTGATTGTTGTGGGTGCCAAGGTCACGTGAAACTCAGGTCAAGGTCATTTACTTGAAATGATCTCGGTTAACTTCCTTAAATTTACATCTTTTTACTGTGGTTTTTAGGAAGTGTTGGTTTGAAATTTAGCACCCATTTCAGCATTTGAAAACTAGGCATACTTAGGTATCAGTTATAGTGCCTTTGCAATATGTTGCAAGGCTGTAAGTGTTGGTTAACATTCTATGGATAGCCGGCAGAACGCCTAATGGGTGATCTGGCGTGACCCGTCCTACCCCAAATGCTTTGATACATCATCTTTGATCAAAGCAAGTGGAAATTCGGAGTCAGAAGCATGCCAAGTCCCAGCAAACTCCACTTGTAGAAATTCTAGCAGGACCCAATTTTCCGTGCTTTTGGGTTATTAACCTGATCTGGGAGGTTAACCAGTGACCTAGGATCTCAGCATTGATCAGGACATAAAAATAATTGGCTTTCTCTCGTCAGCGATGACCAGGACCCTCAAATCTTCGGATTTCTCTCGTTACGAGCAGCTCACTCTTTTTTTATTTTTCAGCGAAGCTCTGGCTCTTTTTATCAAGGGCCGAATGACTGAGGGCTTCTACGCCCCTCCGCTAGATGTAAGACGCTGAAAAGAAATGCCTAAATGGGTGAGGGTTAAATATCGATTGGTTTCTAAGTGCCGAAGCCCGAAGCACTTTAATTTACTTCGATAGCAGTTTTTAAGACCAACGAGCTCGAATACTATAACTTCTTGAGCAATGTAAGCACCACATAAAATGAATCGTGAGAGAAGAGGCTCAAGATTAAGGAGCTATGAGACACTTAATAAAAAAACGGCATAGATTAGAAACTGCACCTAACTCGCACTGGTTTTTAAACCTTTTCGTTGCAGACTGGTAGATTAAATTTTAGGATTGATTTCAGCTGATGCTCAAATGACGTAGAGCTATTCATTCGTTCATTCATGCGACCATCCATTCATAAAAGAGGCCAGTGATAAAATTGTTCATTTTAGATAAGTGTGAAATACAAACTCAATAGAAGTTTAATGATACGGCAAATTTGACAGCTTTTATAATGAATAGACAAATAACTTTAACAAATCAAGGTTGAGAGCCCCAAATAGGGGAGAGTGAGGTAAGATGAGCCAAGGGGCAAGTTTAGCCACCCCATGTTTCTCAGCTCCTATGGCGCTTGACTTGAGCTTCCATGTCCCGTTCGCTTACGATGCTGCAGTCTTTCACGTGAGACGGCAACGTTCTCAAGCTCAGCACCCGTAACATGTGGTATCGCCCCTGATAACTAAGACATGTTTTGCCTTTAAAATGAGATGGTTGTTGTCTGCGGTGCATGGTTATTTTCCTTAGCGGGTGTCATTAATCGAAAATGGCCACGGGCGGGGCAAGATGAGCCATTTTCACCTGGGGGAAAATGAGCCGGATAAGCCATTGTTGTCTCCGCTGTCGAAAACCAAACTGAGCTGTGCTTGTTTCTGCTGAATAAAAATGGTAGGAAATTGTTTTTTTCTTTGTTGATTACACAAGTTCCAAATGATTTGCAGATTATCTGAAGGATAAAATGATTTCTTCCGTGATAGAAAACTTGAGTTATTGGAATGCTTAAAACAGTCACTTTTTGATGGAGGAAAAAACTTTGCCATAAGTATGCATGCCATGGAGTAAATAAAAGAGCTCACTCTTCGCCGCGCCCGGGAAAAGAAGAGGTTCGCCTTTTCTACCCATGCTCAACTTTCCCCTGTTGTTTGGGGGACTGGGGAGGGTGGTTACTGGCTCATAAACTGTCCCCTTCCCAAAGAAAAGAAAACGAAACCGATCATCCGCGAAAAGAACTATTGAGCTCGAACCAAGGTGAAGAATCGATTTATAGGTATGCAAGATGACTAACGATGCCACTTTTTGACTTCTTGTGTCAAATAAATTCAAACATCTGGATAGCACGTCAACATTCTATTTGACATTTTGCTTGACATTTTGCAACAAACGTATACTATTTGGCGCGACTAGCTTCATAAATGTTCTGAAACTAAAACCGTTTCTTCGCAATTAACTTGGACCACGTCATCCCAGCTTATGCACGACAAAAATAAAATAATGCTTCAGGATCACTGGCCTGAATTCCAATGCTTAACCCTCGCCCGCACATGCCATTTTCCCATCCTAGAACGCACATGGGGGGGGGGGGGGTGGTTGCCACCCCCCGCGCCATTTCGTTCCTGTTGGAGATAGAGCTTAGCAGTAAAGACCAAAAAGATTCTTTGGGAAGAGACGAATCCAATGATACCCAGTTTTACCTTCTCAGGTCAGTCATTGACCTTCCAGGTCAGGTCAAACTAAAAAATGTTGCTGTTATGGGTCACCGTTGGATATCAAGTGTGCTGCTTATCAAATACCGATGACGATGCTGTTTTCTGGTGCCAAGCCAGCTAGAACCTCTTTGTCACACTACCCGACCAGAATTTTGCTGCTGAGGTCATTTCAGGTCAAGTTAGGTCAAGGTCAATTATATGTGTTTGTATGTCTGTGTGTGTCTGTGTGTATACTGATGTGTGCACCGATTGTTTTTGGG